CTCTATTTTTCCGACCATCTAAACGTCTTTATGCTAAGCCCTGAACCTTTTTCTCAATCCATTTTACTCATTCCAAAAAGGACATTATTTCATAATCACCTCTCCCGACAAGCTTCCTATTTTCCGCTGGAAACAAATCACAAAGGAGTAGCGTGTTAAAACACTTAACCTCTAAAGACCGGCGCACGCGACAGGAAGCCAAGCAATTGTAACGCCACTAGCAAGCATCCAGCTATAAGAGCAACACCTGGAAACTGATGACGTATACCGCACCCACCTGGCTTCCCTCGACAGCCAAGGCGACGCCGCAAAGGCTTCCTGGAAGATGTAGTCCACTCGTACTTCCTCTTTTCAAATCGGTTCTTTCCGCGGCGCTGTTCTCAAGCGACTGGCTCCCGCGGATTGGTCAACTGCTGACCAATCAGCGCGCGAGCTAGGCGTCTGGGCCTATTGTGATGGCCTGCCTTTTCGTTCCATCCTCATTTGTCGCCCGCTTGGCCCGCCGGAGGGAGCTGCTTGCGCGCAGGTGCGTCGCCTGCCCACCTTCCTCCCGGACCACCTGCTCGCGCTGGAGTTGGAGGATGCGGATACGGATGCGCTCCGGGGTCTTTGCGTCTTCCTGCCTGCTCGTGCAGGCCTTGGGCGTGGGGCTTTTCATTAGAGGCTTCTTCCCGGTGCCGGTCAAATCGCTGCCTCGGAGCGGGGCCTTCAACCGGTTGCCGCCAGAGCCACCTGACACAGGTACAGCGCCTCTCCTTCGCTTGTCTTCCTGGGGTCTCTGCCGGGAAGAACCTCCGGGACGGGCATGTGCGGGGTTGCCAGAGAGGGTTGGCAGGCCCGTTCAAAGTTGGGCGGGAAATCGTTCCTCACTTCTCTCCATGGCATATCGCCCCGCCAGCCTGCCAAGCAAGGCGCAGGGTGAATGAGGTCGTCCACTCCCTTTGGCCCACCTGCTTGACTTCTCTCTGGGGGCGGTGTGGTGGAGAGGCTGTGGCCTATTCGGGCCAACCCCTGCAATTCAGAAAGGGGGCTTTGCGAGGAGTAGAGGCGTTTGCACTTGCAGGAAGCCTCCTCCTCCGGGCTGCTTGGGCTTAGCGGTGTTGGTTTGGCCCTGAGCGGCTCAGCCTTGGTTGCTCTGCCACTCGGAGAGACAGAGGCGTCAGGAACCTGCCTGCCCAGCAGGTGAAACGAACAGTTGGGCAAATGGTGGTTTTTGCCAGAATGAAAGGTTGGCAGGTCTGCTCTTTTCCCTGGGAGAGTGCCTTCCTTCTTTCCTTGAGCAACAAGATGGTGAGGATTAGGGCCAAAGTAAGGAAGAAGAGGTAGTAGGCCTTGGACTAATAATCCAAGGTAGAACGTAAATTATGTGCCATGTCAATAGTGGATATTGGACCCAGCCAGCACACACCTGAAAGTTACAGAGCCTAGGGAGAGGAGGTAAGGGAGCAGCGGCTTTCTTGTTTAGCTTCCTGTACTGCCAACTACCCAGATTGTGCTGTGTTTTACAAAAAAGAAAAAAGAAAGAAATGAAAACCTGTGATCCTGAAAATCAACCATGAAAGGCTTGCTTAAAAGGGCATTTAAAGGGCCTTTTTAAAATAATTTGGTACAGTACCCTCCTCAACTCAACAGAGTGGCTACGGAGGTTTGAACCTGAATTGCCACAAGATGAGCCTGAAGCAAATGTAAGTGAACATCATGGAGGGGACTTGTAGAAAACGTTCTTACAAGTAACCCCGACAAAATCCATAGAGGGCTTGTATGATAATAACCAGCAATTTGATTTCACCTAGAAACAATCTGGAAGCCAATGTGATGTTTTTAGTATGTGTATAATGTGGTCTCTTTGAGTTCTTTCCAAGACTAGCTGAGATGCTGAGTTCTGTACCAACAGAAGCTTCTGGTCTAGATGCTAAAACAGGTTTTGAAGAACATATTATAGTACTATACTCAAATATGGAGAGTATCAGTATATGTGGTCACTTTCTTCCAGGAAAAGAAAACATTGTGTATCACCCAAAAGTGATCATGAGCAGGACTGGCTGTTGCCTTTGTCTGGGGACCCAGAGAAATTCAGATCCAGAAGTGACCCTGAACTACATACCTTGTCTTTCTGAGAAAGGGTGATCCAATTCAAAATAGGGAGATCTGTTACCTCTCTGGAACTGTAGCCATTTCTGTCTTGACTGTATTCACTTTTAAATTATTCCCCATGTAAGCCATTACTGACTGTAGACAGACATTCCAGGAAACACTATTATAGGAAAGTGTCTCAAAGAAATACGTTTATATGTTATTAGTTTACTGATAGCATCCAGTTTAATATCTTCTGGTAATCTGCTTTGATTATATATAGGTATTGAAAAGCATTGGAGACAAAATAGAACATAGAGGGGGAGGATAGTCCTGTTTTAAAAAGCATCTGTCTCCTAGCCACATCATCTGAAATTATTATGGAGCAGTGCTTTCTATTGTCAAATCTCTTAAACTATCTGCAAAGGTTTAAAAAGTTGCTAATTCAAAAGTTTCAGAACTTCCTCTTTTGATCCCCAGCGAAAATCATCCATTAGGCTGATGAGTGCGGTTCCAGCCATGTAGGCCTCTCAGAAGCCAATCTAAAGCTGCTTCAGGATGGATTTAATTTAAAACACTAATCAGAAAAGCTTAATTTAAAGATTTTGATCACAATTGTATTCGCTAACTAGGAAGTTTCTGTAATTATTTCTAATAAAAGTGCATTCTTGTTTGAAATAACCTGAACATGTACTCTTCAGTACTTAGGTTTCATTTTTAGAAGTTTATTTATTCAAAGTGCTTTTATGCCATACCAGTCAATTTAATCTTAAGTGGCTTACAAAGCAAAAAAAATAACATCCAGGTACTAAATAAAACATATCTCATATCTCATGATCATTAATATATCATAGAAAACAATTTACTAGCTTTAATTTCAAATTAATTGTTATCAAGATGGAATGTCCAACAGATACTTATTGTGAAGTCATTAGGAGTTCCATTAATTGTTGTGGATGTTTGAAATATTTTTGCCTTGATATGCAAAGAAAATGACTATCAACACTTTTTAAATTTACTGGATAACCTCAAATTCTTTATTCATTGATCTTTTTTATCTTTACATTTTTAGGGGGAAAAAAATCAGTTACTGTATTAACTTGTCACTCATTCCTGTATTAGGAAGTAGCATAGAATATCATTTGAAGTTAACATTCATTGTTATATATACCATTATGTTGAACTACTGTATGTTTATTTTTTAAATGAAATATTTTAAGAAAAGTTTTAAAATGAAAGCCATTATGGTGTAGTGATAAAGATGTTGGATTAGGAATGGGGACATGCAGGTTCTAGTCCACCTTCAGTCACTGAGACCCACTAGATGCTTTGAGCCAGTGACAGACTCTCAGCCCAACCTAACTCACAGGGTTGTAAGGAAAAAATGAAGAGGGAGTATTGTGTACTTAACGTAATTAACTCTATTTCAATGGTACTATTCAGTTTTGCACAATAAAAACGTTCATTTGGGAGGCAAAGTCTTATTAAATGTGTCACAAGCCTACACAGATTCTGTGATAGGGCTATGCAGGGAGGAGGTGAGGGTCCAAGACAGCCCCCTTGCTGTTCTGAAAGCATGCATTTGTAGTTGCACTATATGTAAAAAAAAAAAAAGCCTGGTCTTCTACAGCTCATATTGCACAACAAAAGGCCTTCAGATGGGCTTTATATTGGTTCTTATTGTGTCCTTTTCCATCTATATTGTGTTCCTTGCTGCTTCAGGTCTTATACTTAATGTAATGTGTAACAATCATCTTTGAAACAAATCAGAAGGATCTACAGGAGGCACTGAAATTAAGTCAGTGACCTCATAGACAATCAAATTGTGAACCTATTCAATTTTATTTACAAACCAAAATTCTGTATACAGGAAGTCCCTGGGTTAAGAACGTCTGACTTACAGACAACTCATGCTTATGAATGGGGTACACATTACTAAAAATGGTGGACAGCATTCTCCTTCCTTGAGCTGACAAACCACTGAAACCATGCGATGTCTTCATGAACTGCTAAAGCTGCACGTTTTTAGTATACAACCTGTTTTCAGCGATTCGTGAAAACATTGCGAGGCTTCAGTGGTTCGTTGGCTTGAGGAAGGAGAATGCCATCCACCATTTTTAGTAATAGGCAGCCTATGGCTGGTGTGGGTCTTCCGGGCTGTGTGGCCGTGTTCTTGAAGTCTTGTTTCCTAACATTTCGCCAGCA